GATACTTAGTAATCAGTAGTCAGTGGATATGGGTTTCTGCTCTTTATCTTACTTAAGTTTCTTCATAGCTCTGTGTACTCAAATGCAGGCTGGCTGATCATTTTCAGAATATCTCACATTTGTTGGAAAATCAAACATGTAGAAGTTGCAGCTCAGTAGAAGCTATTTTGGTGGATAAGAAGTTTGTCTAGGCTGGTCTTGCTTTCCTTTGAAGACATTAAATTTGAAACGGACCTGGGAATTTACTTATGGGTGATGATTGGGAGGCATATGTGAAAAAGAATATCCTATACTTAAGGAAATAATAGGTAACAGTAAGTCATTTAATTCTCATAACAGCCCTATGAGACGAGCACTATCATCCTTATCCCTTACATATAAGGGAACCGAGGCATAGAAAGAGTGGGTAATTTAAGTATCTTGACCAAGAACATGTGGCATACCAGGGTTGGAGGGGGATTTGGACCTGGTGGTCTGACTCCAAGCCTGTGTTTCTAGCCACTGTTGTATTCACCTCTGTTATAATCACAGTGCCATAGCTATTGATAACTTTTAATATTCATTTGCATTTAACCTGCATCTATCACAATTGAGAATTGACATATGAAAATAACTATGGTGAACATAGTTGAGCATAACGGAAATCTTGGAAATCTTTTTTGTTTTAACATTTTCTTTCAACAGTATATTCAGCATATTTTTAAAGTCATAGCATTTTTCTAACTCAGAGGGAAATTATTGATCATCCAGTTATAGAATCATGGAATGTCAGGATTAGAAAGTACCTTAACAGTCATCTAGACCAAACATCTTCAATCATCTAGACTAACCACTTTGCCCATACTTAAATCCTCTTTATAGAAATGCTGCCAAGTACTTGCCCGGATTAATCTAATTCTGTAGAGAGTCAACATCTAAAGAAGTTACTTTTCTGTTTCTCTCAAGTATTGATTTTTTTCAAATTTGGATTTTAGGTCAGTTCTTCCTAATTGTAGAAAAACTCATTTATGTCACAGAAGAAACATCAGAGCACAGAGAGGTTTAATGACTTGCCAAGAAGCACACAGAGATTACTCATAAGTCTTCATTCACTTAGTAAATATGTGAGATCCTACAATGAGTTCCTCAACATTCTAGGTGCTGAGGAAATGGGTGAACAAAGGCCCAGTCCCTGCCATTATGGGCCTGATGCCCTAATGATCAAATGAATATTATAAATAAATACATAGGGCTTCCCTGGTGGCACAGTGGTGGAGAGTCCGCCTGCCGATGCAGGGAACACGGGCTCGTACCCCGGTCCAGGAACATCCCACATGCCGTGGAGCAGCTGGGCCCATGAGCCATGGCCGCTGAGCCTGTGCGTCTGGAGCCTGTGCTCCGCAACGGGAGAGGCCCCAACAGTGAGAGGCCCGCGTACCGCAAGAAAATAAAAAATAATAAACATAGTATGTTGGAGGTTCATAAGTCTATAGAACAGATCATGAAAAGAATTAAGGGAGGGATGGAGTGCAAAGGAATGTGTGGCAATATTTTATAAAATGAGAAGGTAACATTTTACCAGAGATGAGTGAAGTGAGGGCCAGGCCATACAGATAGCTGATGAAAGAACATTTAAGAAAGAGTATCTTAGACAGAGGGAGCAGTAAGTGGAAAGGCCCTGAGTCAGGAGCAGGCTCAGTGTGTTGTGCGATCAGTAGGGAGGGTAGTGTGGGTCGAGCAGTTTGAGAGAAGGAGGGTTCTGGGAGAGCCCTCAGAGGGGCTGCAGTCAGACCTTAGAGGACCTCGTAGGCCATAGAAGGGCTTCAATTCTGAATGAGAAGGAAGGCCATTGTTACATTCCTACTGAAGAGTGATATGATCTGCGTCTTCTAACATTTCTAGAGGCCCTCTGTATTTAAAGCTGGAAGCTGCCAACATATCAGTAAGACAATAATATCCTTGCTTTCTGGAAGCATGTTATCTAATGAAGATGAATTATAAACAAGCAATTATAATAAAAGCATAAGTAAAATTAGTGCCATTAAGTAAGTATAAGCAGAGCTCTCTGAGTCGAAAGAAGGAGCCCTTAGTCATAATCAAAGAAATTAGTGAAGAGCTACAGAAAATCCATTGACAGTCTCTTTCTAGCCAAAGTGAGTGAGCTTATTAAGGACCTGCTCCTCCTTTAATAGCTGTTTTAACTTAGCCACGTCACCCTTGAAGGGCTCTAATGGAGTAAGAACAAGGAAGTGGGGTGTTAATAGATTTATTTTTATTTTTATTTTTTGGTTAGTGGTCTTAAAATTATAAAATGTTAATACTAGTATAGGAATTTACGAATATAGCACTGCAGCTACACACCCTTTATAAGGGACATAATATGCTTCTAAATCGAAGTATGTTCTTGTTAAAAACAGTTTAAACCATCACTCCACTTGTAGGATTGCAATTTTTTTTGAAAAGGGACTGCCCTGGTGGTCCAGTGGTTAAGAATCCACACTTTCAATGCATGCGGCATGGGTTCAATCCCTGGTCAGGAAACTAAGATCCCACATGCCGCGCATGGCACAGCTAAAAACTTTAAATAAACAAACAAACAAACTGTGCCTTTCAAGTAGTTGAGAGATCACTTGGTCTTACAATTTTCAAATATGTAGTATCTTTGAATTGTGTGTATTTTCTTTATCTATCTTAGTAAAATGTGAGAAAATTATGATTAAGGGTGTTTTTAAGTACTCTAAAAGATAAATTTAGAGTATTTTATGCCCTTAAGATCACTGCAGATGGTATTTGCAAGCTTCATTACTTTCTTTGTCTTAATATACAGATTAATTTAATGTGCTTTGAAATATAGATGTCTTGTTTGTGTAAAACTTGTTTAGCAAAATGGTTGTGTAACCTGTACCTCATAGATGCAGGTACCAAATTATGGGGATGACTTACTTCTCTTGGGCTCTAGTCCCAACCAGGGAAGGCCCTCCACTGGACAGCTCCATGTATCTTAGCTCCCCTTCCTGCAAATTTCCACACTGCACTGGTAGAGTCCCTGAGTTGCCGCCACTTCTCTGAAGACCACACACTGACAGTTACTCTACTAGGCTGGTCTTTCTTGGGTTTGTATCCTCCCTAAGTCAGGGTGGTCTTCTCCTTACCTGATCCCACAACTAGCAGTTAGATGTCAGATTTGCTTCCCCCAGCAAGTCTTTATGTGCTGTTGCTGATGCAGAAGAGATCACTGTATTGCCTTACCCCCACGAATGCTTATTGGATCCTTTATTTTGTAATGCAAAATCCAAAAATAGAATACTTCAACATTTTTTTATTAAGATATAAGTCACATATCATAAACATCATTTTTTAAAGTGTACAATTCAGTGGTTTTCAGTATATTCACAAGGTTGTGTGACCATCACTCTCTAATTCCAGAACATTGCCATCAGCCCCAAAAAGAAACCTATACCCGTTGGTAGTCCCTCCTCATCCCATTCTCCCCTCCTCCCAGCCCTTGTCAGCCACTAGTCTGCTTTCTGTCTCTCTGGATTTACCCATTCTGGACATTTCATATAAATGGAATCATACGATATGGACTTTTGAATCTGGCTTCTTTCACTTAGCATGTTTTCAAGGTTTATCCGTGTTGTAGCATATGTCAGTACTTCATTTCTTTTTATGATTGAATAATACTCTATTGAATGGATTACCACATTTTTTTTTTCCATTCATCCATTGTTGGACGTTCAAGTTGTTTTGGATTTTGGCTGTTATGAATTATGCTGCTATGAATATCTGTGTGCAGGTTTTTTGTATGGACATATGTTTCACTTTGCCTCACCTCTTGAACACTTCTCTGCTTTCTTTGGAAGCTCAGCTTCTGTCCCTGCCTACAGAGTCACCTATTCTTCTTCCAAATCTTTAGCAATATCATCCTCATTCTTGTGACCTTACTGTTTCTCAGTAGAATTGGATATCCTTCTCCAATAGTCCTCTTGAGGTTAATGTGAATGTTTGGAGAGAGTAAGGGAGGACTAATAAAATTCCCTGGACTGTTGGATTTAAATCTCAGGAAAGGGCCTGCTATTAACCTTTCCTATAAGGTAGGCAATTGGGAGAACTTTGTGTGGAGAGAATTTTCACTAACAAATCCTTGCTCTGCTAAGCAGAGCTGCAGTTTCTTCCACTATATTAGAGGGAGGGCAGTTGAGATCTTTACGTTAAGTTCATTTTATAAGTAAAACAAATAATAGTAATAATAAATAATAATAATATAGCTGTGTAGTTTTGGTCATAGGATAGAGTTTTTCCATGTTGTTGCATTTTACTAGGGCAGGCTTCTGAGAAGTGTTTAGTTGGTACTTGAATAATTGAATATAATATATAGCAATAACACATTTTGCAGCACTCAAGATAATATTGTGCTGGTCAAGTGACTAAGAATACAAAAGTGAAAGCAGAGGTGGGTCAGACATGGTGTATTCAAGCTTTGAATTCTTATATACACCAATGCTACTTCACCTCATTAAATTCCCCCAAAAGAACACCAAGAAGCTTATTTCCAATGGTTTAATAATAGCTTACTTTATTTTCTACCTGTTTTGAAATATCACTTCACAACCTTACACTTCTGGCAGGAAGGAGAGACAAGAAGTATGTCCACACTTGGCAGTCATTAGTTACCTACTTCACTGTGATCCCATTTTACAGATGAAGAAATTGAGAGGCTAGTGAGACTATTTGAATGTTGCTTTGATTTCTTCTCTTTTTAAGACATTGAATTTACATGCTTTTAGAGTAATTTTCTTCCCAAATTAGCTTATAAATTGTCAGTGTTTCCTGAAATGAGAAAAATAAATTGCTTGAGAAAACTGAAAGGACACTGAAGAATTTTATTTATTGACAGTGCAAACCAAGTCAATTGAGATTAATGCTGCTCCATGTACGATTACACTGTAAACTTTATATAGGATTATTAAGAATAAAATAGGAAGCTTGTTTTAATACTCTGTAATTTTGTTTCATTTCAGTGAAAAGTGTAAGGCTAGAGGATTTACCGTGATTGTGGATGGCAGAAAATCCCAGTGGAATGTGGTGAAAACAGTAGTCTTAATGCTACAGGTAATTTTATTTTTGACTATTAGGAAGTGGTTTTATTGTACAGCAACAGATGAGGTGATAGTGGCAAATGCATTTTGTTTATTGGACTGTGCCCAAACTTCTCAGCAGTGACCGAGTTCTGAAATGCCCAGGCCACTATTGGATTGTTTAGATTCAGTTCTTACAGGTTTTACTTGCGTACTAAAATAAATTTCAACCTTCTTCTAAAGGTTTGTAAATGACCAAAAATAATATGTCATGTTTAAGTAATTTAAACAAATAGGCCAATGAGTCTCAAAGTGTGAGGGCAGAGGTTATCAGACTCATCTAGGAGCTTTTGCACACTGCAGTAACTGCATCATCCCACCTCCACTCCCTCCTAGTACCACAGGTAGGGAGTAGGACTGGGTAAGTCTAATCTGAAAAAGCTTCTCAGGTGGTTCTGATAGGTTTCTCCCTTCTCTTACCCTTTTTCCTTCAAAAATCACCAGGATTCATAATAGTCTTATATCTATCTCTGATCTGGAAGAAACTACTCGACAGCTGTGTCCTTGGGGGCTTTAGCAGCTCACAGATAAGCATTTCGTAAACAGCTGTGATTATAGAATCCCTGATCTGGTCCTAGTCTTATGTTTATATTTCCTTGTGCTCCTCACAGAATGTTTCTGTAATCCCTTGCACATAGTAGGTACCTAGTTACTTGTCGGTTTATTGTGAGAGTATTGAGGATACTGTGATCTGAAAGAAAAATACAGTATTTGAGTGATTGAAAGGGGACAGATTGCTCTCATGTACCTGGGTTTCCTTAGAAGGGCTTGTATAGAAAGTAAAAGTTAAGTGAGTTAAATAAGAGAGATTATCTAATTTAAATGAAAGAAGGTGAAAAGGGACACTGATTCAGTGATAGCTCAAAAATTAAGTGAATACAATGAAAGGAACTGATGACAGGCCAGTTTGGGGGCAATATATTGGCTGTTACGTGGGATATTGAACATTGAATTAGGTAAATATTAGTGAGACTGGAGGAAAGATCAAGAATTTTAAATGAACTGGGAAATAATCGGTAGCTACTTTAGGGTTCTGTGGAAAGGAATATAATTTAAAATTTTAAATGATAACTAGGGAGAATGATTCTTAATGGTTTATTTTTTATTTGTGATAATTAGGAAAAAGAAATTCAAGGCATGGGAACTGGTAATTTCAGTTTTTAGTTTTAGTGCTTAGTATGGTTCAGGTACTGTGCATAAGCTTGCCATATAAATGATCTCATTTAATTTCATCCTCACAAACTTGGGAGGCAGGTTCTACAATCCCCAAAGGTCTTCAAGGATTTTAAGTAATGTACCCAGGTTCTCGTGGTGAACATGGGAGAGAGTCACGATTGGAACCTGGCACAACCTAAGCCCCAGGTTTTTATCCTTTAAAAGTGTATATTTACCAGTGGGATGTATCTGAGGTGGTTCCCAAATTATCTCCCCATTACCTTGTTCTTAACTGGTTGGCCTAAACCTTCATCATTAGAATCACTCCTTTGGGTTGGAGAGGACAGAGGTCCCAGTGGATCAGTTTTTAAGGGAACACAGATTGGTGTCCCATAATAACTTTTTCTGTCACATGTGTTCCCAGCACTTTTGTATTCCAAACCCTGAAGATTAACTCTTCTCTGTACAAGTTGTTAAAATAACTGTTAGATGAGAAATCCATTAATTATGACCTTGTGTTCTTCCATTCAACTGTGTCACAGATGAGCTGTTTGGGACTTGCTGTTTGAACTGGACTTTGATCAGTGGCATTTTTGAAGAGCAATCAATGGATGATTTAATCCCCTCTTACGATTTCTTTTCTGATAGGTATTTTAACAACTTTTGGACTTATTAATAGTTAAGATTTTCAGAAGTTGCAATGGCCTGTTGTTTGCTCCTAGTCAAACAGTTTCTACATACAAAGTTATTCATTGCTTTTATTTCAGAAGGTACTGGTACTGGCTGTTTGGGAGCCCAGAGCTTAGTGCTGGCTCTGCCTGTAACAAATATTCTCTAAAATGAGTGGCTTGGTTTCTCTTGTTTCTCACAGCTTTAATACGCAATGATTTTGAAATAATATTCTAACACAATCAACATATAAATAAACCTCATTCTACACTAAATTTCCCAGCCCCTCTGATAAAAGTTTTGATAACACTGAGGGTTTTTTTTTTAACTTTATTCACAACCCAGTCATTGCAGGAGGTGCTAGATTTGTGATGTGCACAGTGACATGTTTAAATTGAAAAATTTTCTATTTTCCCCTAATCAATACTTATTATAATTATATAACATTATTATTCGGTAGTGCCATTTATGGTCTAGAATAGTGGTTGACCACTATTTTATAAATAGAGTTTATAAATAGAGTTTTATTGTTTACATATTGTTTATGGCAGCTTTCATACTCTGTGGACAGAATTGAAATAGTTGCAACAGAGACTGTATAGCCTGCAAAGCCTAAAATATTTATTATCTGGACCTTCAGAAAGAATTTACTCACCCCTGGTCTAGAACATTTGGAATGGTATGGTAGAACTTTAGCATCAGACCGACCTGGCTTCTAATCCAGTGCCATCCCTCACAACTCTGTTCCCTTGGACAAGTTACTTTAGTTCTCTCAAGCTCAGTTTACTTTTCTGTAAAATTGCAAGGATGAGATCCACTTGTTAATGTGAATTCATTTATTCAACAAAGATTTATGGAGTATCTTCTATATGTCAGGCACTGTCATAGGCTCTGGAGATATAGGAGTAACATTATAGATAAGGTACCTGCCATTGGGAAGCCTATATTCTGTTTGAGGAGTCAGACAATAAGCAGTTAGGCAAATTACTAAGTAATGTAACATCATATAAGGATAAATGCTATGTAGAAAAATAAATTGGTGAAAAGAGACTGTGTCAGATGCTGCTACTTTAGATAGGGTGGTCAGAGAAGGTCTCTCTGAAGAGGGAATATTTGAGTAGAATCCTAAATAAACTGAGGAAGTACTCCTAGGTATAGGACAAAGAACATTCCAGGCAGAGGAAACATCAAGGGCGAAGTCCTGAACTGGGAGCAGACTTGTCACATTCTAGGAGCAGCAAGAAGGTCAGTGTGGCTGTGTTAGAGGAGTGAGCTGAGAGGGGAGAGGTGTGAGATGAGGTCTGAGGTCATGGAACCCTGAGCTTGGAGGGCCTTCTTGGCCTTGGTAAGGGGTTTGAATTTTATTCTGAACATGAGAAAACGTGAAGCAGGGAGGCCTGCTAAGAGGATATTTCAAAAGGCTGACTAGTCTGGGAATGTTAGCAGTGTAGGTGGTAAAAATGGGTAGGTTTAATTAAGATATATTTTAAAGATAGACTTCATGGGACTTGCTGATAAAATATATGTGGAATATATATTAAACTCAGTAAATGTTAATTTCCATTCTTTAGATGATACGAATAACTGCATCTAGTAAATGTGAAATTGTATTTGTTGAGGTTTAGCTTTGTCCTCTTCTTCAAGTTAATAATCATGCAGAATCTTGGCCTTTTTGCATAATGGCTGGTAAGAAACTTATTTTGTGAGAATATTGATTTATGTTATTGGAGGAAATTGTCTAAGATGATTGTGTTATAAAAAATGTTTTTCATATCATAGAAAAACCAAATTTAATAATTTCTCAACTAAAAATTTTCTTACAGCTTAAATATATTCCTGTTATAGAGATTCAGTAAAATACAAAAATAATTCACAGGTACTGTCTGTATTACATTGTTTTTTGAAATCTTCTCTGAATCAGCTTGTCTTTCAAGTATTTCTGTATTGCCATGTACATTTTGAAGTTTGCAGTATTGCTTCTATTTTATTATTTTGATTATTTTCCAAAGGTCTCCTAATTACTCAGCCTAATCATGAATATCTAATAATTTATAACTTTAATAAATTACTCATTTTACATGTATAATGTGTAATTTTTTTTGTATTCTATAGAATGTTGTTCCAGCTGAAGTGTCCCTTGTTTGTGTAGTGAAGCCAGATGAATTCTGGGATAAGAAAGTAACACATTTTTGTTTTTGGAAGGAAAAGGATAGACTTGGCTTTGAGGTAAATATACTCTATAAAAAAATAGAAGTGTGTTATATCTTTAAAAACAGCATTTTGCTGGTATTATTTTGTTTGTTCAGCATTGGATACTAAGCAGTGCTTATGCAATGCTCAATCAGTGCCTAAGTAATGATTAATATTTAGTCAGCATTCACATACTTGTTGAATGAATTATGATTCTTTGCCAAGGCCACAATGCTTTCTTGTTTTCATTTTAATCACTCTTTGTGAATCTTTGGAATAAGTAGAAGCTTTTTATTAAAAACATTTTTGGGGACTTCCCTAAAAATCCCACATGCTGCGTGGCACAGCCATAAATAAATAAATAAATGAAAATAAAAATTTTTTATTACATTACCAAGAAGACATTTAACTAATACTAGGAAATCCTAGACATTTAGAAATTGAAGTTAGAGCCTATTTTGTATGATGTCATAATTATTTCTTACTATCTGGTTTGGTTTTGATACATGAACACAGTTATCCATCCTTTCCTGTTGGCATTACTCTCTCCCTCTTACTTTTCTTGTGTGAAAGCTTGGTTGACCCTTGAACAGCATGGGTTTGAACTGCACAGGTCCACTTAAAAGTGGATTTTTACAGTCAGCCCTCCCTATTTTCAGGTTTAACATCCACAGATACAGAGGGCCAACTGTATTCATTGTACTTTGCCATTTTATATAAGAGAATTGAGCACCTGTGGGTTTTGGTATCCATGGGGTTTCCTAGAACCAATCCCTTGTGGATACTGAGGGAGGGCTGTACATATTATTGTAGATCAGAAAGAAGTCCTAAGATGGAATACAAATTGAAACAATTCAGTCATATTTTTCCTTCCACAGCCTATTAATCCCAGCTTCCTAGTAGGAGAGTTGATAGATACTAAACTTTACATTAGTTAAAGTGTGGAAGCACTGAAGGGTGCAAAGCCTAACTCAACCCTGTAGAATCTAGCCTTGGAATGTTTATAGGAGTCAGACAATAAAGACTCACTGTGGACTTTGCCAGACTACAATAGTCATTTTTATTTTCAGTAAAGTCAGTTTTTTTTGGTATGGAGGAAAAGTCTCCAAGGTGTCTTAGATAAAGATTTAAGAAAATCTAGTTAAAAGTTTTTAAATGAGGTAGCACAAAATGTCTTTAAAATGTGTGATTTTTTTCTGCACTTAAAAAAAAAGTTAACTGCAGTAAAATTCATCCATTTTAGTGTACAGTTCTGAGAGTTCTGACAAACACAAACCGGTCTGTAACCATCACCATAATCAAGAAACTAAGGAATATTTCAGTACTCCAGAAATTCTCTCATGTTCTTCTGTAGTCGACTCCTTCCATCTTTAGTCCCTGACAACCACTGATCTGTTTTATGTCCCTGTGGTTTTTGCCTTTTCCAGAATGCCATGTAACTGGAATGATAAAGTACGTAGCAGTTTTAATCTGCTTCTTTCACATATGCATTTGCATTTGGGATTCATCCATGTTGTTGGAGGTACTGGTACTTCCTTTCTTATTGTTGAGTAGTAATCCACTGTGTAGATGTACCACAGTCTGTTTATCCATTCCCCAGTTGAGGGACATTTGGGGTTGTTTTCAGTTTTTGGTGATTATAGATAAAGTCACTGTAAACATCTGTGTATAGGCTTTTGTGTGAAGTTTTTATTTTAAGAGATAAAATACCTAGGAGTGGGATTCTTGGGTCATATGGTAAGTGTATGTTTAATTTTATAAGAAACTTCCAAATTGACAGTTTCAGGGTGGCTGTATCATTTTGCATTCCCACAGGCATAGTGTGAAAATCCAGCTGCATCTTTGTCAGCACTTAGCATTGTCAGGTTTTCTTTGTTTTTAAATTATAGTTACTCTAGTAGGTGTGTAGAGGTATCTCAGTGTGGTTTTAACGTGCATCTCTGTAATGATTAATGACGTGAGTATATTTTCAAGTGCTTGTTTGCCATCCATGTACCTTCTTTGGTGGTGTCTGTTCAATTCTACCCAATTTTTAAAAAAGAATTAAGGCTTTCTGTTTTCTTATTATTGAATTTTGAGAGTTATTTATATATTTTGGATAGAAATCCTTTATCAGATATGTCATTTGCAAAAATTGCATCTCCATCTGTTGTTCGCTTTTTCATTCTTTTAACAGCATTTTTAAAGAAGTTTTTAACTTTGATGAAGTCTGATTTTTAAATTTTTCTTTTATGAATCAGGCTTTTGGTATCATAGCTGAGAAATCTTTGCCTAATCCAAGGTCACGAAGGTTTTCTCTCATGTTTTGTTTTAGATGTTGTATAATTTTAGGTTTTATATTTAGATCTATCCATTTGAGTTAATATTTTTATAAATTATAGTCTGACAATATGTATTTTGTGACTTCGGTTATTTTAAGATTGTTAAGGTTTGGTTTTTGACCAGTATATGCTCTATCTTGGTGATTTCCTTATGCACATGTGTTCTCCATGTACTGTGCATGCATATTCTGCTGTTGTGGGTGGAGTGATCTGTAATTGTCAAGATTGTTCATAGTGTTGTTCAGGTCTTCTATAGTCTTTGTAATATTCTGTCCACTTATTCTATCAATTACTGAAAGAGGAATATTGCATTCTTCAACTATAATTGTGGATTTATTTCTCATTTCTATCAGTTTTTTCTTCATGTATTTTTAAGTTCTTCTGTTGAGTTCATAGATTTAAAATCATTATGTCTTACTGAGTTGACCAGTTTCTCATTTCATTATTAAATGTCCCTTTTTTATCCATGATAATAATCTGGTTCTGAGGTGTACATTGTCTGATACTAATGTAACTACTCCAGCTTCCTTTGACTACTGTTTGCATATTGTATCTTTTTCCATATTACCTGTTTACATATCATCTATTTACCTATTTCTTTACATTTAAAGTGGATTTTTTATAAATATAGTATAGTTGGGTCTTGTTTTCATATCCAGTCTGACAGTCTTTCTTTTCATTGGTTTATGAGACCATTTATATTTAATGTAATTATTAATATGGTTGGATTAAAATCTTCCATCTTGCTAGATTTTATGTATTTTTTTCTTTTTCTGCCTTCTTTTGGATTATTTTTATGATTACATTTTATCTCCATTATTGACTGGTAATTTATATCTCTTAAGTATTTTTTCCAGTGGTTGCCCTAGGTTTACAATATACATCTTTTATTAACGGAGTCTTATCTTCAAATAATATACCACTTAACACTGGTAATTCCTTAATACAGTATATCTCTAATACTTTCCTTCCATTGTTTACATACATTTTACTTTTACTATAGTGTAAGCACACAATATATTGCTACTGTTTTTGCTATAGATAGTCTTTTGTCTTTTATAGCAAATAAAAAATGAATTTCATTTTTACCTTCATTTATGACATTTCTTTACTACAAACTTTTACTTTGCTAATATGTGTTGTGAATGATCATAAGATACATTTAATATATAGCGTTTCCCATACTTAGTTTTCCCCAGGGCTCTTCCTTTGGGAAGCATCTCCTGCAAGTATGGTTGCTCACAACACCCAGTGTTCTTCATTTCTTTTCAGCTTTTTGGTTGGTATGCTCCTTCTGCCTAAAGAACTTCCTTTAAAAATATCTTACATTGCAGGTCTGTTGGCATTGAGTTTTCTCAGATTTTGTTTGCCTGAAAAAAGTCTTTATTTCAGTTTTGAAAGTTATGTTCTGTCGGTATAGAGTTTTCTTTCATTGTTTGTTTGATTTTTTTTTTCTTTTAGCACATTAACTATATCACACCATTGCCTTCTCATTTCCTTGGTTTCTGAGGAGAACTCTACTATTATTTGTATCTTTGGTCCCCTATATGTTATATATCTTTTATCTTCCTTGGCCACCTTCAAGATTTTTGCTTTGTTTTTGGTTTTCAGCAGAAACTGAAAAAAATTTTCAAATCTAGACATTTTGTAATGTCTAGGCATGTTTTATTTCGTGTTAATTCTATTTGTTGTTTGCTGCACTTCTTGGATCTCTGGTTTGACTTCTGCTATCACTTTTGGAAAATTCTTAGACATTTTAATTTCAAATATTTCCTCTGCTCCATTTTGTTTTTCTACTCATTCTTACCTCCAATTGCATGTACGTTAGACCATTTGAAAATTTCTCACCATTCTAGGTTGGTGCTCTATTTTTTTTTCCTTTTGTGTTTCAGTTTGGGTATTTTCTCTTGATCCATTTTCAAGTTCACTGTTTCCTTGGCTGTGTTGAGTTTATTAATGAGCCAGTTGTAAATGCACTTTATCTCTTTTACCAGGTTTTTGGTTTGTAGCATTTCTACTGGATTCTTTCTTATGGTTTCTGTCTCTTTGCTGTAATCCCCATCTGTTTTGCATGTTGTCTTGCAGTTCTTCCATGAGAACTGTTAACATATATCATAGTTATCTTAAATTCCATACCTAATAGTTCCAGTATGTGGGTCTGTCTTACTCTGGTTATGTTGTTTGGGTTTTTTTCCTGAGAGTAGGTTGTTTTCTTTCTTGCTTTTTGTATGGTGGGTGTTGGACATCTTGTTTACGACAGTAAAGACTGAGATAAATCATATTTTTGCTTGCACATGGACCCATCTTGGTTTGTGCTAGGATTTTAGTGGGACAGGGGAGGGGTTGATTTAGTCTAGCCAGGAGTTGAACTGGCTTTGGCTTTTGTTGTTGCTCTTCTTTTCCTCAGTGTATCACAGGCTTTAGATTCCTCTAGAGTTAGTGTTTGTCTCACCCTCAGCTGTAGATCTTTCCTTTGCACCTGTGCCTCAGAAAAGGTCTCTCTTTGCACTGTTGACCCTCCTCAGGAATAGAGTGCTGTTACTTGTTACTCAGTGTTTGTCGGTAGGGCATTTTCTGTTGTTCTGATTCAGCCTCAGTCTTAGGCAGGCTCTGTGATCTGTGACCCAGGGTCTAGGGGATAGGGCCCTCTTCCCCAGCTTTAGGAGGCCTATGGTAGTCTGGGCTCATAATATGTTCCTGCCTCCATTGGGATAG